GAACACACCTCCACCCAATCAGAACACAGCCAAGCTCCCACCCAATCAGCTCCAACCCCACTGGCAGTTAAAAGGAAGAAACAGCTGCGATCACACACCACTCTTAGAAGCACGAAGCTGAAGACACCAGCCTGAAGATGACGAATGTGACTTCGTCGAAACGTCGCCAAGGTACTTTTAATTCTACGCGGGAGAAAACTGTGGAATTCTGGGAGTTGAAGTCCACATGCCTTAAAATTGTTAAGGTTGAGAAACACTGATATATATAGATAGATATAGATATAGATAGATATAGATTTACCTCAGAGGGCTGATACGTTACTGCTTTAAGAATTATATGTAATTTTATGAGTTGGCTCATTATTAAGGTGACCAATCGTCCTCCTTTAGGAAGGACAGTCCTTCTTTTGTACTCATTTAAATAATAATTAATAGGCATGTAAGCACAATTACAATATAAAATGTTATTGTTACAAATGTTTTTTTATTATGCATTTATCATATTATAGTGTATTCTGTATTGTTGCAATGAATAAAATGTTTGATTTACGATATTTTTTTCTTCAATTGATTTGTGTCCTCCTTCTCATTGTAAAAAAGTTGGTCACCTTACTCATTATAATATATAATATAATATATTATATTATAGGATTTACCTCAGAGGGCTGATATCAGGAGGTGTCCAATCTTTCCCTCAATGGGCTTAATCCGTGCTGCTACAAAAGCTAAGCCTTTCAAACCACAATTTGGTATCCTGTCTAAGAATTCAGCCTCATTTACCATCTTATTGACCAACTGACGCTTTAAAATCCTCTAAAATAAGCCCATAAAACAGATTTCTTTTAAGGCAAAGCAAGTGATTGCATCTAGAGCAGAGGTCCCCAACCTTTTGGGCACCAGGGACTGGTTCCATGGAGAGAGGTTTTTCCGTGGATCGGAGGGTGTGTGGTTTTGTGTTGCCTGCATCCTGGGGATAGGGCTGAAATGGTCTAGGGTTTCCTGCCTGAGCAAGGGGTTGGACTAGAAGACCTCCAAGTTCCCTTCCAACTCTGCTATTCTATTCTATTCTATTCTATTCTATTCTATTCTATTCTATTCTATTCTACATTCCTTCTCTTCTTTTCTCTTTTATTCTCTTATTCTATTCTATTCTATTCTATTCTATTCTATTCTATTCTATTCTATTCTATTCTACATTCCTTCTCTTCTCTTCTCTTTTATTCTCTTATCCTGTTCTATTCTATTCTATTCCTTCTCTTCTATTTTATTCTCTTATTCTATTCTATTCTATTCTATTCTATTCTATTCTATTCTATTCTACATTCCTTCTCTTCTCTTCTCTTCTATTCTACATTCCTTCTCTTCTCTTCTATTTTATTCTCTTATTCTCTTATTCTATTCTATTCTATTTTATTCTATTCTATTCTACATTCCTTCTCTTCTCTTTTCTTTTCTTCTCTTCTATTCTACATTCCTTCTCTTCTCTTCTCTTCTATTCTATTCTCTTCTATTCTATTCTATTCTATTCATTAGACATTCCCAGTTCATGCAACCGTTCTTCACAATGTTTAATTTTTCTTAAAGGCTAGGTTAAAACAATCGCTTTATGTTCTATAAAGTATTGTCTTCAAAACATGTATTTGGTTTTTTTGCCATCTCCCATTCTAGTCTTAAATTCCACTAGCAAACGCACCATCGTCCTGTTTCCATCGGTCAAGGAAGATGATGTAGACAAGGGCTCTGCAGAGCTTGAGGTCAGTATGAACGGAACCACGGTATCTTCAAGGATCTTGCGTTCCTAGAGGAGAGAAGATCGTCAAAGTTCACAAAGATTCTCAGTCATCCAGATAGAGGCGTCGTGCTTGTACTAGGTAAAAACAAAGGATGCTGCTGCTTTAAGAATTACATGTAATTTTATGAGCTGACTCATTAAAGTGTCCACATCTTTTTTCCCCACATTTGCCCAGCAACCTAAAGAAAAATTGGACTGTTTCAAAGAACAGCAAAGAGGCGTCGTGCTTGTACTAGGTAAAAACAAAGGATGCTGCTGCTTTAAGAATTACGTGTAATTTTATGAGCTGACTCATTAAAGCACCCACATCTTTTTTTTCCCAGGTTTGCCCAGCAACCTAAAGAAAAACTGGACTGTTTCAAAGAATAGCAAAGAGGCGTCGTGCTTGTACTAGGTAAAAGCAAAGGATGCTGCTGCTTTAAGAATTACATGTAATTTTATGAGCTGACTCATTAAAGTGCCCACATCTTTTTTTTCCCCCAGGGTTACACAACAACCTAAAGAAAAACTGGACTGTTTCAAAGAATAGCAAAGAGGCGTCGTGCTTGTACTAGGTAAAAGCAAAGGATGCTGCTGCTTTAAGAATTACATGTAATTTTATGAGCTGACTCATTAAAGTGCCCACATCTTTTTTTTCCCCCAGGGTTACACAACAACCTAAAGAAAAACTGGACTGTTCAAAGAATAGCAAAGAGGCGTCGTGCTTGTACTAGGTAAAAACAAAGGATGCTGCTGCTTTAAGAATTACGTGTAATTTTATGAGCTGACTCATTAAAGTGCCCACATCTTTTTTTCCCCACGTTTGCCCAGCAACCTAAAGAAAAACTGGACTGTTTCAAAGAATAACTGAAAGGTGTCATGATTGTACTAAGGTTAAACACATTTCTTCAAATCAGTTCCCAATTTGCACAGCCCTGCGAGACATATAGACTGGAATAAGGCAAAGCGCTTGTCAAATTCAACAATATTGTTTTAGAGCTTTCACTGGTTCTTTTAGTCTGTTGGAGGGGATTAAGTGACATGGGAAAAAGACTTAATGGGAAACATTTTGGCTGGCTGAGTCACTTCTGCACAGGGCTGAACGAATTGGCTGTAGATGTGCCGAAAATTTCTGTTCAAATAATAGCTTATTGTCAAGTTCCAAAAATCAAGAAAGACATGTTGACATTTTTTCTAGGCCATTTCCTTTATTGTTCATTTTCCAGACACAAAATCTAGCCAGTCTGAAGATTCTACTATCTGCATTTACAAATAGCCTGGGAACTATTGGGGGAGGAGTCGTCTTCACCCTCTTTCTCTCCCACAAACTATTTGAACTGAGTTGTCTCATGCTCGTCTGGAATGCAGCCCCTCCCACCTGGGAATCCAGACTACATTCACCACACTGATCGAGCCGAAGGGAGACCGACTAGATGTGCATATTGAGTTGGAGGTACATTCCCCACCTGTCCACAATCACACCTCGGACTTCATACCTCTTCATAATATTTGCGCTCCTCTTCTTCAACTTCTTTCTGTGCTTTTTCCCACTCTTTTTTCAACTTCTCCTGCTCTTTCTGATACCTTTCCTAAGGAAAAAGTAGCGACGCAAGCTGTTAACCAGGAACCCTGATCCAACGGGAGGAACTGGTATCTCAACTGGATCTACGGAAGAGCTGCTAGCCAAGATTTTTTTTTTTCCCTTTAAATCCCAAACCTGCATGGAAGAGGGATTTTTTTTTATTATTAGTGAGTTCTAGTCTTGCCTTAGACACGAAAGCCAACTGGGTGACTTTGGGTCAATCACCAGGAGATGGTGAGTTCTAGTCCCGCCTTAGGCATGAAACCAAGCTGGGTGACTCTAGACCAATCACCAGGAGACGGTGAGTTCTAGTCCTGCCTTAGGCATGAAACCAAGCTGGGTGACTCTAGGCCAATCACCAGGAGACAGGGAGTTCTAGTCCTGCCTCAGACATGAAAGCAAGCTGGGTGACTCTGAGCCAATCACCAGGAGATGGTGAGTTCTAGTCCCGCCTTAGGCATGAAACCAAGGTGGGTGCCTCTAGGCCAATCACCAGGAGACGGTGAGTTCTAGTCCCGCCTTAGGCATGAAACCAAGCTGGGTGACTCTAGGCCAATCACCAGGAGACAGGGAGTTCTAGTCCTGCCTCAGACATGAAAGCAAGCTGGGTGACTCTGAGCCAATCACCAGGAGACGGTGAGTTCTAGTCCCGCCTTAGGCATGAAACCAAGGTGGGTGCCTCTAGGCCAATCACCAGGAGACGGTGAGTTCTAGTCCTGCCTTAGGCATGAAACCAAGCTGGGTGACTCTAGGCCAATCACCAGGAGACGGTGAGTTCTAGTCCTGCCTTAGGCATGAAACCAAGCTGGGTGACTCTAGGCCAATCACCAG